TGACATGCGCTGACCACCAGGGGGTGGTGCGGAACATGGCAGGTGTAGGTGAGCTGGCCCCCAGGTGGAGAGCTGTGACCTCTCGCTGGCTACCTGAGGGCGGGGGTGATGGGAATGGAGGTGCGGTAAGAAAGCGGGGTGTCTGCCAAGCTCACTCTCACTCCCTCTGCTTCCCTCCCCCGGGAAGCCCCCACGTTCAGGTACCAAGCACCCACAAGGCCTCTTCCAGGAGAACCGGGCTGCAGCCACCGCTCGGGCTCACCCTGGGTTCACGCAGGAGCCAGTCTTCGAGGCTGGCCAAGAGACAGCGTGCTGGCCCCAGCTTCTGGGCTCACCACATCTGCATAGGGACTCGGGCGCTGTGACTCAGGCGGAGAGGAGCATGCGGGGGACCAGTGGCCCAGGTGCTGCCCAGGGCCCAGAGGTCAGCTGGGACCCGCCCTTCTACGCCAGATGCTCATAGATGCTCATGCTTTGATCGCTGGCCAGGCTTAGGGACAGCACCCGTGTACGAATTTCATGCACTGGGCCTCTAGTAGTCTAATAATTCTCAGTATTATGGGTTGGAGGAGGAAGCATTGACTCTATAGTTTTATATAAATACTTTAGAAATATTTTTAAATCTAAGAAGCCTTAAAGAAAACTAGGTTTCTCTAACTAGAGAACAGAGGATTACAGTCTTTGAGATTAAAAACTAGTAAATCACACACACAAAAAAAACTTGAACATTAATGATTAGGGACCATTCATGAGATATTAGGTACTAATGTCTTTAAGTGCTACATTACTCAGGTCTACTGGTGGGCTTTTACTTTTCCTGGATGGATTTTAACTAAAGAGACTTTAGACATTTGGATATAGATAAAGGACTAATTCAGTAATTAGTATTTTAAAACTGTGAAACCTTTTAAGTTAAGTGGTCTATTAATTAACTACCAATTATCTTGTCTGACTACCGTATCAATAGAAGTAAATTACCAACTAGCTGTGTGACAGATTGAGTCCTTTGCAATGCAAAATCTCTCCCGCACATAAAAGGCCTGTAGCTAAATGCTTCTGCCTCCCCCTTTTGGCTAATCGGGGATCAATGTGCTGCTCACGTGGGAAGGCAAGGCGAGCTGCAGCTCTTTGGTCAAGAAGGACCTACAGATAAACTCGCTTTTAGAAACAGCGAGCTAAGACTCTGCTTAAAAAATAACAAGTGAAGCCATGCTAATGTTTTTTTGGGGGAACACGGGTTTGCAGTTCCTGTATGGAGGCCAACGTTCCATATTTCTCACCAAAATACAGAGAACCTGAGATATTCCTATGATTATGGCAAACAAAGGGCACTGTATTGTGTGCACTCGGCACGGTCTTGCCCTGACCGGGATTGCTGCACAACAGATTATCCTGACTAGAGCCTGCCTCAAATCTATCATTTCTTGACTGGCGACCAAGAGAAGGTTCCTAGGAGGGTTCCTGGGGATGGCAGAATACTGGAGGGTGAAGCATCACAGCAGACGGGAGGGCTGTGCAGACAGTGCCACGTCCGGTAAAAACCGCCATCATGCATGGGAATAGCAAGAAGCAAGGAGTTCCTCTCCTCAAGGCCTGGTCACTGGGAAATAGGAATGGACACCAGGCATTCCACTTGAGCTTGATTCCAATTCCCATATTCACACCAGCCCTCTCAAAGTCGCCAGCCTCGCACCCCCGCGCAGACTTAATGCACTAGAGTGAAGAGGAGCATACAGGTGGGGCAGGGAGAATGAAAAAATGATGCGGGGAAAACGAAGAGAGGTGCGAACGACAAGAACAGGAGGCGGCCCCCACTATGAAATCTCATCGATCGTCCCCAGCTTCAATCAGCCCAGCATAACGCTCACCTTGGGAAGCTGCAAAAGACAGACCCATGTGAGCATCCTCTGAACAGCTGATCTAAATATTTAAGCAGAAGCCTGGCCTTGGTTACCAAACATCTATCGAGTGGCTTAGGAGCAGAGTTCTGTGCCAGCAAGGGGAAAGCAAACAGATGCGTAAATAAGCTGCCTTTGGACTGTGTGCCATCTACTTAGGGGTTCGGAGCACAAGGTAGAAAAGGTTGCACTGAAGAACACAGACTGGGCAGCCCAGGATGGACCTGACAAGGAGGCTGCAGAGACTCCCGGCAGGAAGAGAGGAAGTTCGGACAAGTCCTTTCCCTGCAGCTTCATCAGAAAATTAGAGGCTGGACTAGACGATCTCTAAGGACCATTGCAGCTCTAACATGCAAAAACGCCAGACAAGGAACAGCAAGGACTTGAGCGAGGCCTTCAAAGGCAGACGGAGGAGGGCCGGAGGGCCTTCCAGGCTGGGGAAGCGTGTGAGGAATGGTTTGCAAGTAGCAGCATCCACAGCTTTTTGATGGACGCCCACATGACACCCACGTGGTTTTCTACTTAACTGCATATGACTTTAACTCGGGGTCAGGACTTGCGCGCTCTTGATTATATTATGAAAACCAACAACAACTGCTACTTAAAGGTCTAGCTCAAGACAATCTGTTCAAATGACTGGACAAGTCTTGCTCAACTGATCTACTTTTTAAAAAATGTTCCGGGCAACTTCTCTTCCCCACCCAGATACAGTCAAAAGACACACGGGTGATTTTTTTCTGGAAGGGAACAGCTTATGCCAACACTGGACATCTCTGAACAGCTACCACAAACATCTTCCCCGAAGAGGGTCCACCGGAAGGGGGCTGACTTCAGGTGGCTCTGAATTCATGTAGACGCCCCAACCCCAAGAATCACTGTGAAAATTAACACAGTAGTAAGTCTTCTTTCATATTTTAGCTGCTAGACCTCAACTTCTTAAAAGGTTTCTTGGCAAGAAGTTAAAAATTCTAACTAGAAAGCGAGTTTTCTGACTTCAATATTGAATATAAATTCTTAAGTTTAGATGCTTGGGGGGAAAAAAACAGCTGGAGAACTCAGGAGCCTCCCATGTTTTAATATGAAGTGACATCATACTGCCAAGGCTTCCAAGAACTCCCTTAATTGTGGAGTTAGGCAACATTTCAAAAGGCCTCTGGGAAGGTGATCTGTTCCTGCGTGCTGCGGAGATCCCGCTCCGCGATAACCCCGCTACTGGGGACGTGACTAGGTCTTCTCAGATTAGAAAGTAGCCTAATGTTTGAGGGGCGGCACACTAATTGATGTGTGTTTTCAAAGCTGAAGCTATGGCTTTTCTGTGCTTAACACCCTCCAAATTAGCTCTCATTTCATAGGACGTTTAGAGAAGAAGAGCTGCTTTCCTCTTACAAGTATTTAACTGTAGATCGCAGGGGATTTCTTGAAAAAATCTGGTTGCATTTGAAATTTTAGAATTCAGCAAAATGAGCATACAGAGGAAGGAGGTGTTATCGACTTCAGAGTATTTTGTGTAGGGAAACGTCAGAGTTCAGAAACGAGCATCAGCTCCGTCAAAGGCCATCGGGAAAAACCAGTCCCGGTGCCGGGTTCATAACTGGCCTCCAAGGGCTGAATACCTGGTTAAGGATGAATAGCTGACTGAACTCAAGTTTCTATGGCAGCGTCACCCTTACCATTCTTCAAACAGGAAAACTGTAGTCCACCTGCACTGTATGTACGTCTTTTATTGCTAAAGAGGCTGTTTCCCTCAGAATTACAAACACACGAGATGAGGGATAAGCTGTTGCCCAGTTTGTCCAGTTGCACTGGCCTTCACTCGTCGGCCCCACCTCTCTGGCACCTGCCACTGCTCTGTGGACCCCCCGGCAGCAAGGACTATCCCTCCCCCGACCCCACCGCGCACAGCACACGCTCGCACACTTCCACACACACACAAGCACACTTAATCTCCCCAGACTGTATCTAGTCTTCTCCTTCCTCCTTTAAAACATGACGTGAGTTAACTTGCAATGTTTATATGTTCATTCTAGAGGTTTGGAAATGAGTTAAATAAAGTTCAGGTTTGAAAATAAAATGGGTAAGCTCCTTCCAGGATAAGAGACATGGTTTGTTGTTAAAAGAGCAACATTTGACTTAAGTGCTTCTGAAGCCAGATGAAGTTTTTAAGCAATTGCTAAAAAACTTAGGAGGTTTAAAGTGACCTATTTAGGAGAAACAGTTCTTCATTGTGTTCGATTAGAAGGCTAATCTGCCTATGGAAAACACACACACACACACACTCCTTTCTCCTTACCCTTTCTTTATCGGATCCCTCTTCTCTACAAAAGGGGGAACACCATGGAGGAGGAAAAGCGGAAAGTGGGTCAACCATGTGCAGTTATAGGGGAGGGGTTCACACCTCCCGTTACTGAGTCAGTTTGGCTGAGAAACTGGGTTGGTTCTGTCCCTCGAGCAGTAAAGCCCTCGCTCTCCCCCTCAGGGGCCGGAGGAGCTGGCGCCCTGGTTGGTCTCAGTCCCTGGTCCACCAGACCTCACAACCCTCCTGCCCCTACGTAGGGGCCCTGTGGCCCAATAGGGGTGACTTCTGTCTCCCGAGAGGCCTACCGAAGCCGAGAGGGACTCCAGCAGGACAGTGCCCCGACCCTGCGACGGCCCGCGATGCGAAGTGCCTGCCAGGGTGGCCTGACTGCGCCCAGGGGACCCCAAATGCTGATCTCAGAATCTCCGGCACTTCCCAAAACACAGCCCGGCGGTAATGTGGAAGCCTAAACTCTGACTTTAGGAATTCATAAGAACAGCCGATGTTTTACAAACTCAACGGAAAGTAAAATAAACAATCCCAGGATTTTATGCTTCCTCTTGTTATTTTTATGGCAGTCTTTCAAACTAGTTCAAAATGTTCAGTCCTCTACCCTCTCAAGAAATGCTGGACTGGGGGTGGGGGCGGGAAGCAGGCAGCGATTTAACGGTTAACGGGTGAGCGATGTAATGCACCGCGGGGAATAGGAGCATGCAGGTGGCTCTCAGGCTGGCACTGAGGGCTCTCTCCGTCCCCCCTTCTCACGGCAGAGGGCCCAGAAACGAACAGAGGATGTTTCTATTTACCCAGAAGTGTGCGTGGCAATTGACCATCATGGTTCTCTCAATGAGCTCATCAGGACATTCCAGGAGGTGGTGCCCGGAGACCACGCCGGCATTGTTGACCAGGACAGAGACCTCGCCAACCTCCTTGCGGACCCTTTCTGCCGTCAGGTAGACGTTCTCCCTCTTCCCCACGTCGCAGGTGTAGGTGAAAACCTGCAGGTTACAGTGGGGCAGGATCTCTTCCTCGCCGTTCCCAGCTGTCCTCAGAAGTCCAGATGAGGGGAAAGGGGGGGAATGGAACAGAGAAGGGAGGGGGTTTGCAAAAAACGTGAGTCACATGGCAGTCAGTAGGACAAAGATCATACGAAACAAAAAACTCTACAGTGAGCTTCGGATTTCTAACACGGTGAGGCTTGCCAATGACTGAGCTTACAGCTGCTTCCCTCCCCGAAAAGTCTGGGGGAATTACAGCAATGTGCTGGAGAACTTCGCTTCGGGGGAAATCATGCAACTGTGACAAGCCCAGCGCAAGGCAGGCCTCCTGGGATCAGCTTCCTGGAGCGAAAGACACCTGGAAAGAACTGATCCCGACCCAGGGACCCCCCCCCCCCCCCACACACACACAGTGCACGCTCCTCTTTGGGGGGGCAGTGGCCAGAAGTGGCTTTTACTCTCTAGTATGAGCACCCTCAAAATGGAAACTCACCTCAAGGCTCACATATCAAAACTGTCACTAATCATCTGAATTCATCCAAAGCCAATGATTGATCCTAGAGTTTCTCATGGAAAGTGTACACGAGTGTGTCCTAACTGGCATAGCACCCTTACATAAATCAAGTTCACAGGTAGCCATGCCATTTAATCACACGAGAACTCAATGTGATAACCGCAATCTCTTCCCTGGAAAACGAATAGCTTTATCGCTTAGGTTTTGGCATGGGAGCACAAACATCTGTCTTTGCTGCCCTCCAAACCATCGCTTGAAAAATGTAATGTTTTTAACCTTTTTGATTCTCTGACCTAAAAGGCAGGTGGCCAATAATTTTGGCAACAAATGATCAATATGGGGGAGGGCTGGTGCCCAAGTTAATCTTCCCTGGATAGTTCAATGTTTTCCCTGGAAACAAAAAATTTTGTTAAAAAGCAAAAGTGATTGTCAAGTTTCCTGGACCAACACTTAATGTTTGGTGGTGGTCTGCACATTTTTTTTTTAAGTCTCAAATTCAGGTCCGTTGATACACGTACAAAAATGCAGATTTCCCGAGGTTACCAAAAACGTGGACAACACATTGACAAAGAGGCTTCCGTCATTCAAGCTCGGACTTTAAGAAGCAGCGCAGGCGCAGTTTTTCAATCAGGCTAAGTGTGTAACTAAAGGACTTAGTTATCTCTGGTGACACAATGTAATTATTTCCCAGTGATTAAAGTTACAGAGAAATCAGCGCTGCCCTCCTCTAAGAGGTTCACAGACCACAGGAAGCAGACGTGCTTCTGTCCAGTCCGGGAACAACTTCCCAGACAAGTTTCCCATCGCAGAGGCGATGGAGGCATTTCCTTACGGTTCAAACCTGGGGACACAAGTGCCCTCTGCCTTCCCTGTTCTCGGAGGGCTTAGTCCTCAAAGACACCGGCCGGACCTCGGCTAAGACAAGGGTCTGGCACACGCCCCCCCTTTAAACACGGAGGCGATCCTGCTCCTTTATGGGGAGGGGGCAGCCTGTGTGTATGTATGGAGGGGTGTCTCTTCCAGGACAGCCAGGCTTACCGTGGCAATGGGGTTCGGTGGAAGGTGGGGGCCGGGGGGCGCCCAGGTGGGCGCAAGGGCGGGGAGGGGCTTGATTCAACAATGCCGGGGCCGGGGCCGGGGCGCGGGGCGCGGGGTGCGGGCGCGGGCGCAGGTCGGTCCGCCCGGCTTACCTTGCAGCGCCGCGGCGTCGGCCGCCTCCAGGTCGCGGTAGATGTGGCGCACCATGCCCGCCGTCTCCTCGTTGCTCTGCGTGTTGATGTCCCAGAGCACCAGCAGCGCCCGGCGCCGCGCGAACTCGAGCGCGAAGAGGCGGCCCAGGCCGCTGCCCGCGCCCGTGATGAGGCACACCTGGCCCGCCACGCTCTTCTCCTTGGGCCGCACCAGCCAGCGCGCCGCGGCCAGCACGAACGCCCACAGCACTTTGAACGTGACCACGAAGAACTCCACCACGATGTTCATCGCGGCGCCCGGGGGCCCGCAGCCCGGCTCCCCCGCCCCCCGGGGCGTCTGTCCGAGCGGCCGGGACCAGAAGGCTGCTGCGCCCCGAGGTGCCCGCCGGGGCTGGGGTGCGCGGGGGGCCACTCCCGCCTAAGCTCTGCGCGCGGGGGGTGGGGGGGGAACCCCAAGCGGTGCCCGACGCGGCGGCGGCTGCTGACCCGCCCGGCCGGCCGGTCCCGCTGCGGCGGCGGTGACAGCCGCGAGTCAGGCGGCGCGCGCTGCCCTCATGGCCAAGCCGCCGCCGCCCGAGCGTCTTCGGAGCCGCCGCGCCGGCTGCCTCTCACCCCGGGGGAGGGGCGCGCGGCGGGGACGGCGCGGGCCGGCGGGCCGCCGCCGCGGGACTTGTCAACTTGACCCAAGTTGCGAGCGGGTGGCAGGCGGGCGGGTGGGGTGCGGGGCAGCGGGGAAGCCGGGAAGGGGCTGCTTGCCCGGCCGCTTGCAGCCGCTGCCGCCGTCGCGGGCCCCCCCCCCACGCCCTCTCCTCCGAGGCTGTCACGCCGGCACCCGGCTCCTCCGCGGCGGCGAGACGCCACAAGCACGTCGGAGCGCTCCCGACCCGCCTGTGAGCGGGATCCACGCTCCGCGCTATATAACCCGCGACCGGGAAGAGCCAGAGGCGGCATCGGCCCTCCCTCCGCTCGGCCCACCCCGCCCCCGGGCGCACCCCGCCCCCGGCCCAGCCCCCCGCCCGCCCGCAGTCCGCGGAGCCGCGGCGGGGCAGCCCCTCTCACATGGCCGTGGCCGCAGCCTCCAGCCCGCCTCGCACCTCCCTTCGCGGCGGCTCACGCCCCCTGCCGTGGGGTGTCCGGGCCTCCGCCTGCCAGGCCCGGTGGTCGGCAGCGCCCCGGCCATCCTCCTCCTCCTCCTCCGCGCGTCCGGTCCTCGCGGTGCCCCTCTCGCCACTTTCATGAAGCGGGTCATTCTGGACGGCCCCGCCTGCAATCAGGCGCCGCCGAAGACAGCCCTTCGGGCTGGAGGAACGGAAGGACCTCGGCTGCGCGGCCACGGGGGCGCCGGAGGCTGTGTGACTGGGGTTGGCGGGGAGCCGAAAAGGTGCTTAAAGCCGGTTCTCGGGAGCGACTTGGAATCTCAGCTGGCCCTTTGCATCGTGGGCCAAAAGAGTCTCATTTTCCCTGGCTGGAACCACCACCGTGGTGGCTGCCTGCAGTCCTTGCCAAACGTCGCCCGCCCGCCCGCCGGGCAGGCAGTGGGACTGGTGCATGCTGGGATTTGTAGTTCGCACCCGTGGCGTGTCATTTGCATTCATTACTGGGTGGAATTCGACCCGCACCGAGTTAATGCACCCTAAGGGACTAGTCAAGGTGTCAGCACTCCTTGCTCTCATATGAATTAAAGAGTTTAATCGATACATATTTCCCCCCATACAAATTGTATCCTAAACTTGACCCTACGAGACTGAATCAGGAATGTCTTAATTTTTGCGTTTGCAGGGCGTGTTCTCTCAGTTCTGAGTTCTTTTCTGGCTTATCCTGGGACACCTATGAGTCCTGGGGCTTTTCACGCGTCGTCTTTAAGTGAACAGTGCGCATGCGCCACCTTCCTCTTTTCCGGCTGGAACCATGGAGGGTGTAGAGTAAGTAGCTCTTCCTCTCCTCGAGAATCCCCTTCCATCCCCGAAACCAGAGACCTTTTGCCCCACTTTCCCCCGGCCCACCTGTACCCTGTACCTTTGTCTGCTTACCTGTGCGTTTGTGACGTTTTGTGACATTGGCGGAGGCCGCCGGCCGGCAGGGGATGCAGGCAGCCGTAGGGCGGAGGTTTTGGAGTTGTTGGGAACGGGGCGAAGTGTGGGAGCTGAATATGTGCGGCCTCGGCCGGTTGTCCACCCCTCCGCTTTGTGAGGGAGGCACCGAACCTCTGCATTGGGTTCGTCCTTGTCTGGTACTCGATCTAGGATAGGCGTCCCTGCCGTCAGCCCTTTGCTTTCAGCATGTGGCGCTTGAGGCCTGAGCGGGGTGATGGCATTTTTTTTTCCTGTGGTTATTTGTTGAGGAGCCTAAGCCCTCGTTAACAGTCTAGGGATCCTTGTCTTTTGTTAACTCTGCTGTGGATATTTTTGTTGTGCGAAGCTGGGACCGGGCGTGGATTAGACGTGAATTTCCGTGTTAAAGGTACTAATAGCGTAGACATGGCCTAAGATCTCCGTCTGGGCCCATCGCAGCTGAAGGGACACACGTGAGAGCCAGTGGCGGTAGTTGTGCTAAGTGCTCGGTAATGAGCGCGCGGCGGGGCTGTGAGCTTTAAGAACTGTTCATGCTTGCTAATGCCAGAGAGAAGAAGAAGAAGAAGGTTCCTGCTGTGCCAGAAACCCTCAAGAAAAAGCGAAGGAATTTCGCAGAGCTGAAGATCAAGCGCCTGAGAAAGAAGTTTGCCCAAAAGATGGTAAGTAAACCTTTTTTTTTCTTTTAAGACACCGTGTAAGAAGAGGCTTTGGGGTGGCAAGCTAGGAGGATGTTCTTGGCAAGATTGGTTTACTTGACCTGGCCTACCAGGGAGGGCGAGCTTAGCGCCTCAAAGTGACATCACAGGTGAAGGTGGCATCTGCTTTTGGGAATGTTAATGCAAACTGGCAAGAAAGGGAGGAAAAAGTTTCAAGGGAGGTTTCGGTTTCTTCGGAACTGGTCTTGTCTTGGTCATTTTGTTTGGAGCTAAAAATCGGGTGAATAATTCTTGTTTTTCAGCTTCGGAAGGCAAGAAGGAAGCTCATCTATGAGAAAGCGAAGCACTATCACAAGGAATACAGGCAGATGTACAGGACGGAGATTCGCATGGCTAGGATGGCAAGAAAGGCCGGCAATTTCTACGTACCTGCCGAACCCAAATTGGCGTTTGTCATCAGGATCAGAGGGTAATCAATCAGTTCATGGGTGTTTTGTTTTGTGTTGATTTATTTTTGCTGCAGTCTGATTTTGAAGGGGAAAACTGCGATCTCAGAAAAATGGGACATTACTTCTGGAGGCGTTGTTTCTGGAATAATATTATTTTGGGAGTAGCTTGAACAAGGGATTGTTTTAATGGTTTAGCTGTGAGACCTGTGCCCTAAAGTCCTTATCCATTCTCTAATTGAGCACTGGGCTTGAGTTCAGGGTCCTGGAGATGAAAAGTAGTTCAAGTATAGCCTCCTGAAGTGTTATGACAGATGTTTACAGAATTGGCGAGTGGGGGGAGGGTTGGAGGGAGTTTAAGTGTCAAAGGTATATGTCCAAAGGCAGTTTACTTGTAGAGGGGCCAAGTTGGGAGAGGTGACAAGACAAATTTAGCTAAATAACAGGAGAGGATTCCTGTCTGTCTAGGTGGACTTGTGGCGTCCAAAATTGTAATGGTTTCCTGCCCTTCATTAATAAAAACCTGTGAAAGGCCCAGAGACATTGTCGTTCTTTTCACTGCAGTATCAATGGTGTGAGCCCAAAGGTCCGAAAGGTGCTGCAGCTTCTCCGCCTTCGCCAGATCTTCAACGGCACCTTTGTCAAGCTCAACAAGGCCTCCGTCAACATGCTGAGGATCGTGGAGCCTTACATTGCGTGGGGGTAAGTCTGCCTTCTCCTTTGGTTTCTGTTGGTTATGTTAGCAAGATCGATGTTAGGTGCTTTGACAGCAGTAACCTCATTCTTTGGTCATTTACGTCTGCTTTCATATTTCAGGTACCCAAATCTGAAGTCGGTGAATGAATTGATCTACAAGCGTGGTTATGGCAAAATCAACAAAAAACGAATTGCCCTGACAGATAACGCATTGATTGCTCGATCTCTTGGTAGGTTCTGCTTCTTTGGAGGAAAGTTTGCTATTAGAGTTAGTATTTTCTGGTATCTTGTGGCCCTGCGTTTTCCTCTTTTTCCTCTTAACTATATATTACAGCCTATAATTGTGTTTGTTCAAGTAACAATTGTTATCTTACCCTTAAAATGTTCAGGTAAATATGGCATCATCTGCATGGAAGATCTGATCCATGAGATCTACACTGTTGGAAAGCACTTCAAAGAAGTGAACAACTTCCTGTGGCCCTTCAAGTTATCCTCTCCTCGGGGTGGCATGAAGAAGAAGACCACCCATTTCGTAGAAGGTGGAGATGCTGGCAACAGGGAAGACCAGATCAACAGGCTTATTAGAAGGATGAACTAAGGTGAGCATCTACTCGAGAGGCGTTTACTTAATGCTCGAGTAGATGGATGCAGTCTCATAATTTTCCCACTCAATGTTGATGAGGGTTTGGTTTGAGTTCTAATATATTTAGTGGGGCTACAGTTGGTTTGGTTACTCCCTTTTGAGGATGTTTATGAAGGGGGGGAAGATCTGTTAGTGATTTTTTTTTTTTTCTACTTAAAAACGGACAGTGAATTGGTACTCTAATAACTTACTGGTTTATGTTAATTCCTAGCTATTGAGGTGGTTTCTTTAATGGTTTTTTGTTTCTGTTTTTCCCTTTCAGGTATCTACTATCGTTATTTTTGTAATCTGGTCAGTTAATAAACAGTTCTTCAAAATTGAAGCATATTGTTGTCTTGGTGAGTTTTTTTGTTAGCCTGCCTCACCTCCACTGTCTTTTAGCTATCAGCAAACTTTAGTACTCGATAAAGTTAAGCCAAATCAATAGCCATTGCATCCAAAACTAAGGTTCCATTTGTTACTTGTGAAAAACACTTTTCTGTGCAAAAGAGGCATCTTAATATTTTACTATTGAGTTTGCCAAAACTAGTTTACTGAGAAGGTTTACTACCCAGGCCTTTGTGCATGATTTATAGGTAAGGTGTAATAAAAGCAGTTTATATTAAAATATTGCTGAAATTCCGTTTTCTCAGGCTTTGGCTTGCCTATAAAGTATTCTGTAAATGTTTTCCTTTGTTTTTCTTGTTTTGTATCTTTTCTCCATGTGTCATTAAGTTTTTCATTACATGTATTATGGCTCTAGCCGGTTTGTGTCAGTGGATAGTGTCTGCCTTCGGATTAAAGGGTCTCGGGTTTGATTCTGGTTAAGGACATGTACCTTGGTTGCAGGTTCCTCCCCAACCTGGGCCATGGTCTGGGCTTGTGCAGGAGGCAACCAGTTGATGTGTTTCTCTCACATCAGTGTTTCTTTCCCTCAATTCCACTCTCCCTAGAGTCAATGAGAAAATATCCTCTGGTGAGGATTAACATTAAAGAAATAAAACAGTGTATATATTATGAAGGAACAAATGAAATTAGTGTGTATTGATAACAGTTATTTTGAAGCACCTAAAGCACTGTTAGTGAAACTAGTGAATATAGCTTTAAATGATAAGTGTTGGTATTTTATGTATTTATTTTTTTCTCCAAAATATTTGAGAGAGAAATGTCAATGATGAGAGAATCATTGCCTGGCCGCTTCCTGCAGGCCCCAAGCTGGGGATCGAGGCCACAACCTGGGCATGTGCGCCGACCAGGAACTGGAGCTCAGCCATTGAGCCCGAGAGCTGGGCGGTTTGGGTATTTATAAGAAACAGGTTCTCCTATGATTTATGTATCATCTTACCTGGCTAATGAACTGACAGTTATAAGTGTAGAGTGTAACATGAAATACATATAATAAAAGTTACAGTTTTTGTAATCTCATTGATGTGCCAAGACTATGATGTATATGGAACACATGCCCTGTGGTGACACTTTTGCATCAGAATTGGTACTTTTTAGTATTTGAAAGTTGCTAGATAAATACATTTAAGAATTTCTTTAAATTCTTTGGTCTTGGAAGCTGTATCTCTGGACTAGTGAATTTAGGGTCAATGAGAATAACCAATGTACATTAATCTCTAGGTGATGCCTAAGAGTCTGAGTTTAGAAATGACCATTTTGTTTTGCTGCTTAAGTAGATAGAGTCCCAACCCCCAAGCCTTTGCTCATCCAGTATCCTGAAAGATAGAAAGTGGCTCTGAAGAAAAAAACCACATTATTGAAATAAAGTACAGATGTCATATGCTAACTACTTAGGCATGGGAAAGTAAATGTTGGAGGAACTGGGATAGTAATAAATAGAAGTGGCATTTTATGTATTGGTGATGGCACAGTTTGGTTTTTGTTTTTTTAATCTTCGCCTGAGGATATTTTTAGAGAGAGTAGACGGGGAGAGACATCGACTGGTCACCTCTTGGATGTGCCCCCTTGGGGCTGGGGATTGAACCTGAGACCCTGAAGTCCACAGGCTGATGCCCTCTCTAATCACAGCTGAGCCGGCTAGGGCGCCTTTTTTTAAAATTATTTTTATGGTAAAACTGGTTAGATACGGTAGTTCCCTTGCCACAGGGGATAAGACTCCCAGTGGATGCCTAAAACTGGATAGTACCAAGCCCCATATATACTATTTTTCCTTATACATACATAACATTGATAAAGTTTATTTTATAAATTAGGCACAATGAGAGGTTAACAATAATAAATAGAATAATTAATCACCATATTGTAAGTTATGTGAATGTGGCTTTAAAATAGTGATTACTTGAACACAAGCACTGCAGTACTGGGGCAGTCAATCTGAGAAAACTATTAAATGCCTAACAAGCAAAGAGTGTGTACAGCATGGAGACACTAGACAAAGGGATTATCACCACCAGGCCTGGGCGAGGAATTTCATCACTATTCATGATGCAGTGCAATTTGAAACCTGTTTTAATTCTGGGATTTTCATAAATTTGAACTGAAATCAATAGAAAGCAAAACTAAGGACAAAGGGGCACCACCTTAGGCCCCTGACTGCAAGCACTCAATCTTGCCTGCAGTGGACAGCCATTGGATTGTTAGGATTCCTTAACTTACATGCATCACCACCCAAAGCAGCATAGCTTTTGAAGCTGGTGAGGGCTAGGAAATTCTCAGAGTATCTAGGGTAAAGAAGTGAACTGGGCTGTATCTGTCCTTTGTAGAAACGTTCCCATTTTTAATCCTGTAAATTTCCCAAGTGTGGCCAAAGAATAGGGAAATGTTTGTGAGAGGAGTTGGGGACATCTGGATTAGGATTGCTTCCGAATGAAGGAATCTAGTAGGAGTTTCAGAGGAGATATGGAAAGAAGGTAGACATGCTGCCAGGCGACACTGAAGCTGTCAGTTTCCTGGTGATAAAAACAGGACAGTGGGTCTACCTTCATCACAGAATTGTGAAGACTAATGGGTAGGGAAGTGTTTTGTGAACTATTAAAACCTATTTAATTTCAGGTTAATACCTTATTTTACTTCACCCACCTCTCCTAAAAGGAAGAAAGTCTACTACTAACTCGTGTGCATTTCCATTTGTGCCCTTGGAAGTGCCGGATTCGTCAGGTCTCCAGCTGCCCCTGTATTTAGAAAGTCGTTTTTGCCCTCGCTGACCTTTAGCCGAAGTTACCTCTCATTGCTTACCTCTAGGAGGCTGGATCAAGAGTGCTGGCTTTGGAGCTGAACTGCTTACCAGTTTAATTATTTAACCTTTACTTATCGGCAAAACGGGGAAAGCAGTGGTACCTGGCTTCATAGGATTTTCAGGATTAAATGTGTCGGGTCAAGTAAAATGCTTAGAGCGGTGTCTGGCTTAAAGTGCTAAGTAAACTTTCATTGTAAAATTTGAGTACTTAGGGGCATACAAATGAAAATAAGGCTCTGTTCCCTGTGAATGAAATGGGCAAGAGAGGAAACATGGAGATGTATGTGCTACGGGACCACTAGAAAGTGACAGTTTCTTAGGGTTTTTGAGGACCACTTTCAGGGAGTCCTCAAAATAACCCCTTGACCATTGACAAATTTCGCCCCCCACCGCACCCCCGTTTTCCTTTACAGGTTTGGTATCAAACTGGACAAAATATTATTATACCTGTGCCTCCATTCTCTTGGGAGGCATCCATCCCTCTAAGGCTAGTCTTTTTATTGCACATGTAACATACATAGCATACCTCATTTTAATAGCATTTCACAGATGTGGCAAGGCTCTTTAGCAAAGATTATGACTGGCTTCCTTGTGGCGGTATAGAATTGAACCTGCATGTCTCCATGTAGGCACTGTGTATGTTTACTATTGCTGTGGTAACAGATCACTTAAGTTACTTAAACCATAAATCTGTTGTCTTTAACAATTTTGGAAATCAGAAGTCCAAAATCTGGTTCACTAGGCTAAATCAAATTGTCAACAGGCCTGCTTTCTGGAGGCTCTTCCATCTTCCCATCATCTCTGGCTTTGCTCCTCCTGCCTCCCTCTTAAGGGGCCCTGGTTATTACATTGGGCCACCCAGGTAATCAGGGTAGTCTTCCCATCTCAAATACCTTAATTCTGGAACAACTGCAAAGTCCCTGCATAGGGACATATGACTCCCAGATATATTTTTTTCTTGTTCCTCATAAATGAGAAGCTTCTACTGCAGAGTCTTGGCACTTGCAATCTTGTTTCTGGAACACTGCCCTCAGATCTGTGTACTTGGCTTTTTTCATTTGGGTAAAAGGTCTTCGACACACCTCTTCATATAATTTTTTTCTTCATAGCATCTCTTACTATCTGATAAAACTTTCTCCAGGTCTTTGAGTCATCACCTTCTCTGTTCCAGTACTTAGAACAATGCCTGGTGCATCCCAAGCCGCTTGCAGCTTTGAGTTACTCAACCTTAAAGGCCAATCGCTGTTTGAAATGGTGTATCTCCAGTTGGCACATGTAGTCCTTGGGTGTTCAGATGGGGAAGGTGAAGAGTGGGGGCTGGATTGTGGATGAATGAGTTTTATTGTCTAGGGCAGAGGTTTGCAAACGGCGGCTCTGGTGACTCATGAGTTTGCCGACCACTGACCTAGACTCTTACAATAATCACAGGCTGTTCCTTGTGCTTAAGCCCCTATCCCAGTGGTCTAGGGATAACAGTATGTGCAAACAGAACAACATGTTAGGAGAACATAGAGATGGTTCCACTGTGAGGATTGGGAAGTTTCACACAGGTTGGTAGGATTTGGGTGCCTGGTTATAAAACAGTAGGAGCCAGGCCTGGAGTTGGCACAGAGCTGGGGGGAGGGGTGGTGATAGCCAAGAGGATGTGATAGCAAGACTCAAAAGCAGCCAGTTAAACCTTTGATCGAGAGTTGAGTGTAGTGTCCAATTAATGCACATAACTTTTGCGTGCAGCCCCAGAACTGAGTTATTAATTGGTTTTGGTCCCAGACTTTTCTGTGGAAGTTCTCCATGTGCAGCCTATTCCTCTAGGTCAGTGGTAGGCAAACTGTGGCTCAAGAGCCACATGTGGCTCTTTGGTCCCCTGAGTGTGACTCTTCCACAAAATACCACGGCCTGGGCAAGTCTATTTTGAAGAAGTGGTGTTAGAAGAAGTTTAAGTTTAAAAAACTTGGCTCTCAAAAGAAATTTCAGTGGTTGTACTGTTGATATTTGGCTCTGTTGACTAATGAGTTTGCCGACCACTGCCTTAGGTAAATATACCATTATCCCAATTTTCTGGATGAGTTAACCACCTACCTCTCCCCACCCCCAATCACACAACTACATTCAGTGCTGGGGCTAGTGTTAGGTTCCAGGTCTAATGTGAGTTGGTTTTCTTAACCAGAGGAAGCTCGGAGAGGTTGGTGTCAAGCTTAGTGAAAACGGAAAAGTGGGTTTGAGAGCAGTGTCAGGAATTCTGTGGGACCTGGAACCACATTACCAGGGCTAAATGTGCAGCCTTATAGTGGGGTCAAGAGTATCGCTAAGACCTGGCGCAGGTCAGGGCGCTAGGCTGGCTTCCCTGCAGGGAGAGGACACACCTCCTCCAGGCCTTCACCAAAGAACCCAGACAAAGGAAGCATAGAACACGGAACCCGGCCGAGGGGGGAGGGGAAGCCGCCTGATTCTGCCGCTTACCTAAGACGGGACTGGTCAGGTATTACTGGGATGTTGGAAAGGTCCAGGCTCAGCAGTACTCGGGGACCCTGGTGGTTTGAATCTTAAAAATGCAACTTGGGACTGCACCTCGCCAGCCTTGCCCAGCCGTCCGCCGCCCACCCTGCAGCCGGGTGCACTTTTCCTGCCCCTGTGACCTTGTTTCAGGATTGATCCGTTCACCAGCCTCGTTTCGCCGCCGTCCCCCCACTCTGACCCTTGATCTGTGACCCCGGGGTGGGGTAGGGTTTCTCCTAGCTGCCCAAGCCCCCTCCTGGCTCGGTTTCTTTCCGGAGAGACGGTGGGGATGGCGGCGGGCGACAGCGGGGAGGGCAGCCGGAAGCTCCAGGCGCCTGGCAACCGGGACGCCTGGCGGGCTGGGCCGCAGCCTCCGCCTGGGGGCCGCTGCGGGCGGGGCCGCCGGCAGCCCAGCATGTTTGCCCCGAGACCGGCCATCCAGCTAGCTTGCAGCGGCCCAGGCCGCCCAGCCCCGCAGTGCCCTGCCCGAGCTGCCCGCTGCCCCCAATGCCCGAGACTCAGGTCTGGGTGCCACCACCCTGGGCCCAGCAGGGGAGAACGCCCCTTCACCGCACCACGGAGCTGCTGGGACAGTGAGTGTGGGCTGCCTGAGCCTCCTTCAGGGAAGGGAGAGTCAGCCTGGCAAGGTCACCCCAAGTGTTCTTTTCCTGGGGACCTGGCGGCGGGGAGGCCGGGGAGGCGGGGCTGAGGTGGGAGAGAATCCAGGGAGGACCACCACCCGATCTGAACTTTTGCGCCCCAATCCCCCACCCCCCCCACCCCCCTTTGGAACAGACCAGCACCCTCAGCCATCCTGCCGGCAGACACACGCGATGCAAGGGTGCGTGTCTCCTGCCCACCACCGCACGTGGATGGAGCAGGTTTGGGATTCTGGTTGTGTTCATTAGATAGCTCTGGCCCATTTTCATTGCGGATTTTGCTTGGTACCATTTCCGATTTACTTGTAATTTGAGCTGATGACTATTTTCATGCGGGGCTGAAAATACTGGAAAAGGTTTGTGTGATGCCCGGTCCTTTCCCCTACAACCTCGTTGGGAGGAGACCTGAAAACGAGCCTCTCTAGCCAAACGCAGTTTTGCACCCGTTCCTGGGCATTGTGTGCCCGTCCTCTTCCTGACTTGTACCCTCCTCAGCCCCTGCTCTTCATCTTACTGACTCTCTGTCCACATTGCTAAGGGTGAGGTAAACCTCCAGTTACAGTGGCTTTCCTTCAAAAATACTCTTGACATTTCCTATTTTAAGTTCCTACATTTTTGAAAGTGCATCGTAATACATCAGTGTAGCTAATTTGAACAGCACAGAAGTATATAGAGTTTGTGGTGAAAGCTCTTTCTACTTTCTAACACTTCTTAGAGTTAACTTGGTGTTTAGCCATACTTTTTTTCCCCCATTTTTTTTGTTTTTAATATATCTTATTGATATTTTACAGAGAGGAGGAAGGGAGAGAGATAGAGAGCTAGAAATGTCAATGAGAGAGAAACATCAACTAGCTGCCTCTTGCACGCACCCCCACTGGGGATGTGCCCGCAACCAATGTACATGCCCTTGACTGGAATCGAACCTGGGATCTTTCAGTTCACAGACCAACGCTCTACCACTGAGCCAAACCGGTTTCGGCTCCAATTTTTTTTTTTTTTTATCATCCATGGAATCATGTGTGGATTCCTTTGCGAAATTAACTTTTTTCATTTGAGGAAATGGCAAATGCCTATCATATCATTTATATATGCCTGCATTGAATATTTCATAGATGTATCATATAGCTAGATGTGTGATCATGTGGTATAGATATATTATAATCTATCTTGCATTAAGGTTGGTTCCAACTTTTCCTTATTACAATGAACATTCTTACACTTGGGAATAGTCCTACAAAGATAATTTCTTGAAGCAGAATTGCTGGGTCAGGTATATGTACATTAAAAAATGTTGGTGCGGAAAAAAAAGTTGGTGGAATATTGCCTTAAAAGTCTTCACAGGTTGACATTTCCATCAGCAGGCTGTGTTCAGAAAAGCTGTTTATCATTATTTAAAAGCAAAACAATAGCTTTCACTTGCTGAATGTTTATTACATGTCCAGTGCGGCTTTGAACTCTTTACACGCATTTTAAAGTTAATCCTGGCCGGCGAGGGGCATGAGTCAGGGTGGAGTGTGTGTGTGTGTGTGTGTGTGTGTGTGTGTGTGTGTGTGGCAGTTAATCCTCATTAATACAATGAAAATCACAGGCACTGTTATTCATGATCCTATAGTTACGCAGCTATTAAAGGGCAGAGTCAAGATTAGAATCCAAGTTCATTTTATTCCAATGCTGTGTTCTTTGTTGGGTCAGTAACGGGATTGTCTCATTGAGTTGTTGGAGGATTAAATGAGATTGTGCATTTGATGTTACGGAGTTACTGATAGTTCTTTTATCTACTTCTGTCGAATTGGACATGGTCCACAGCTTCCTGCGATTCTGATTCCTCTGTGTCCTCTGCCTCTCCAGTCACATCTCTGCCTGTTCTTCATCTTCCTGCCTGGTGTATATTTTGAGGGAATCTGGCTTTCTTCTCTCTCTCAAATCTCCTTGGCAACTTTAATCCAGTCTCCGGCCTCAATTCTCACCTGTAAATTATTCATCTCCCAGCCAAACCTATAGTCTTCGACTCCCATAGCTTAGACCCCGGTTAGAGCTTTACCTGGAGGTTCTAACCTCCTGGTCTCTAAAACAGTTCCTTGTCCTCACCCCCCGGGCCAGCTCTTTCTCTTTGAATTTAATTCATGGTTCCATAATTCTTAGTCAACCTCGTTCATAGCCTCCATCACCTTAAACCCCTTTTCTTTGCTGAACCTCCTAAACTCAACCAGCCGTTTAATCGTGTACTCTCACTGCTGCCACTCTAATGTACGCACCTTGGGCTGGTGTATTAACTCTCGCCTCTGCCACTGCTCAGGGCAAGACCCCCTGTGCCCTCCCATTGCTCCAGGAAGAAAGCATAGGTGGCATTTGGGTGTGTCTGTGCTCTCCCTGTCTATCATTCCATTGTTTCTCAGGGTGCCTTTACCTAAACCTCCGTTTCCCATCCATGGCATCTTTTCACGCCTGTATCTTTCCAGGAATGTCACTACCACACTTCTGCCTGTCGGAATTTTACATAAATGCCACTTCCCAGTGTCTCCTAAGTCTTTCTTGAACCTCCTCCTGAAGGTCGTATCTCCTGTCTTTTAATTCTCTAATATGAGGAGTTACATACGTATATATCACCCCTCGGGCTGTGATTTCACACTTCGCCTCATGTTGTAGCTGAATGGATGGCTATTGTTTTTCCTTTAAGGACAGGAAATTCTTGAAGGCAGGATCTCTGTTTAGTTTATCTTTGTATTTGTCAAGTGCCTGGCACACTCATGTGCATGTAGGACATGCTTAGTGAATATATCACACACTGCATGCTTAGTGAATATATTTCACTGAGGTAGGTGAGCTAATACTACATTCATTTGGGAATAAAAGTTTGCATGTATTAGTGTATTGTTAGCTATAGTAACAGACCTCAACATTTTAGCGATTTAACATACAATTTATCTTTGGGATGTGGGAGGAACATGAAAGGCATAGAGAAAACCCAAGCATACATGGGGGAAACATGCAAACCCCAAGCAGACAGTGGCCCCAGCCAGAATTGAGTTGTTTTTTTCATATATGGTATAACAGCCACTTTTTCCCCAAAAAAAGATACAGAACACTTCACAAATTGGGGTGTCATCCTTGTGCAGGGGCCACGCTAATCTTCTCTGTATCATTCCAAATTTGGTAAATATGCCCCTGAAGCGAGCACACAGAACGACGTTAAACAAAATGATGCTCCTAGAGGGCCTGGCGTTACTCATCAGTGGGCTGCTTTCTTCCGATAGGTAACGGCATCCGGGCTCTGCCACTCACCAGCGCTTTGCTCTTGTCTAGTTGCAGCCAGCAGGAAGGGAAGGAAAAGGCGTGGAGAAAGCAGACCTGCTTCCTAAAAGCTTCCTGCCCAAAGGAGGCTCGCATTCTCTCACACCCCCTTCTCAGGGAGGCAGCCGCTTCCCAGGAGCAGTTCTGTTCTCCGGAGGAGCAAGAACTCTGGTAGGCATGCAGCCTGCTCTGCCACGGTTCATTTCTTCTTATCAAACCCTGGGGGGCTTAGCTTGACACCCTTGCTCAAAATCAGAAGCAAAACTCTCCTACGTGCACACGCGGTTAGGTGAGCACAGGCTCTGTGGTACCACAGCTTTACCGTGAATGGTTACCACAACGAGCTGCCATCATTTACTTTGTTCCCCTCCATGCCCTGTAGGCTTTCGCATCTTCATCATTTTTTTATTTCAGCTTCTAGCACAATGACTGACTTTTTTTTAAATTATAAAAATACAGAATTTGACATTCTTGAAGATAAATATTTGTGTGTATCAGTGATTATTTCTTTAGGATAAATTCCTGGGAGTGAGTTGCTGGGCCAAACATACATAAAATTTTAAGGGCATGCATATTGCTATCTGGAAACGCTATAAAAATGCATATACTAGCCTTGGCTGGCATGCTCAGTGGTTAGAGTGTCGTTCTGGGCAGGGTTGTTTCTCATTCAAGGGCACATATCTGGGTTGCAGGTTTGATCCCCACCTCCAGTTGGGCACATGTGGGAGGCAACCAATCAATGTGTCTTTCTCACATTGATGTTTCTCTCCCCTCTTCTTCCCCCCTCCCTTCCACTCTAAAAATCAATGGAAAAAGTATTCTCACTCCTTGGGTGAAGATTTAAAAAATGCATATACTAAAACCTATGAGAGTGCCTAGTTCCTTGAAATCCATCTTACACTGTTAAGTAGTAAAGAAAAATTCTTGCTATTCATTTGGCAAGTTATAGCTCATTATATTGCTTTTATTGGAGTACTAGTGAGGATGAACTTTATTGACCAATTCTTTTTTTTTTTCTGTAACAAGTTATCTGTTCTTTAAAAAATATACTCTCTATAGGGTTCATTTTAATTTTTATTCCTAAGTATCCTTGTACATAAAATAAATTCTTCAGTTCTTTATGTCTTCATTTGAAAAATTATTCTGGGAGCTTCTGGGCAGAGTGAGCTGACATGAAGAAGACTCCATCCCGCCTCCTTATATCTGCAGTGTGGGTAAATATAATGAGGTAACGTATGGATATGTGGCTGGGCTAGGAAGCAAGAGAAAGAATTGCTCAGGTGCCATAGATGAAGGCATGTTCACGTGGGAAGCCACTGCTGAGCATCTGCCGAAAGCTGGAAATCACAAAGGAATGCTGTTCCCGTTACTATGACCGCATCACAAATTCCTCCAGAACGTAGAGGTGGGAAACAGCCACTGCCTATGCTCGTGGGTCAGGAATTCGGACAGTGCACAGCATGGTCAGCATGGCTCTGCCTCCCTCGTCTGGGCCTCGGTGGAGGACTGGAAGACTTGGGGCTCGTTCACTCCCGTGTCTGTGGTTGGCGCTGGCTGTGGGCTGAGACCCTCGCTGGGGCCTCTTCCTGCCTGCTGGCTTCCTCACAGTGTGGTGGCTGGGTTGCAAAGGTGAGGATTCCGAGAGAGAGAGCCACGTTTTATGAACTCGCCTTGGCAATCACACAGGCACTTCGACCACATTGTATTGACCAAGGACGTTAGTTTCAGGGGGAGAGACAGATTTCACCTCTTGAAGGAGGAGTGTCGACATTACCCTAAAGGAAGAACATGTGGGGATGGACGTGTATTAGCGCATTCTTCTTTGAAAACTACAACCGGCCACAAGAACCTTGACGCTGAGATGATAACCAGAAAAATGCCCTCCGTTGGTCTGAGGAGGCCGCAAGGAAGCTGGCCATCCACTTGAACTAGGAAAAGAGTCAGCTACCACACGGAGCTTCACATCCTTTACAGCACAAGTCTGAGGCCTGAATCCATATTCCTTCATGGTTAAGGGATCACAGTCCAAGAAATGGACATGTTAACCGGTCTGGCACCTCTCACACCCGGGTCCAGGCGGAGGCGAGGGGCAAACCTCTCTGCAGCAAAGTTTCTGTGGCTCAGGGAGCATGGAGTCCTGTGGATAGTGGTCTTTCTAAAGATGAGCTCACAACGTTTACTTCATACAAACTACATAAGGAAATGAACCACAAGGAAGGAGACTCGGCAGATGTAGCAAATGGGAGATTTGTATGTCTAAACTAAAAAATGATGGACACCATGGAAAAATATTAGATTTATAATATTCAAGGAGATGAAGGTGTGGAAACCGTAAGGCAAGAACAGGGCAGTATGGGGAAAAATAGGCGACGTCTAGGGCTGCATGTTCTGATTTTGCCGATCACATTCTGTGATGTCAGGTAGTAGGCTCCTTTGTCTCCTATATGTCCTCTAAATCGGTAGTTCAATCTAAAACACGTGGCAGGCTGGATTTGTCCCGGGACACATAGTTTGGATTAAAGCTTGGGGGACCAATAAATAGTTTAGTATTCACTAATTCAGTGTTAACGTCGACTTCATAGACTACCGATCTTGAAAAATGAGAATCGACTTTTATTGTAATCTGTAACAAACTTCTTTCATTTATCTGTTTATTTAACGTCTATCTCTCTCACCTGTTTCAGGAGGACAGGGACCCCATCTGGTTTGGTTCATTTTTACATTCTTGTTGTGTGACATATGATTGTCATTCAACACATTTTTGTTAAGTGAATAAATGAATGGATGGCTAAATAATGACTAGAAAACATTTAGCATTTTCTTCTATTTCTAAACTAGGTGAAAAAGTAACAAAATTTAAAATATTTGGAATATTTTAATTCAAAAATACTGAGATGCACCCTTATTTTGAAATATAGTAATTATTTTATAGCTCTCTGTTTTAAACAGTTTATCACAATACCTGACTTTAATTTGAGAAAGCATTTGTTCTTTTTTTCTTTTTTAAAATATATATATATTTATTGATTTCAGAGAGGAAGGGAGAGAAATAGATAGAAACATCAATAATGAGAGAGAATCATTGATTGGCTCCCTCCTTCATGTTCCCTACTTGGGGGCTCGAGCCTGCAACCCGGGCATATGCCCTTGGGCGGAATCAATCCTGGTAGGTACCCTTTAGTCTGTAGGCTGACACTCTTTCCACCGAGACAAACCAGCTAGGGCTTGAGAAAATATTTGTTTTGAGTTTTTTAATGGCTTGCCTTAGAACATAAGTACTTTGTTCTTTTTATTATCTCTTTCTACATGTGTTTGTTTTTTTTAAGTCTTTTTTTGGTCCTATAAAGTATCCTTAATTTTTCTTTTTCCAACAGAATTAGTTGGGGACCATGTTTTCAGGAAACATCAGATCAAAAACATTTATGTGTTTTTAAATTTTTATTATTTCAGCACATTCCTTAAGTTGTACATTCTTGCAGCTGTGAGCTTACTCCCCCCCCCCCCCTTAACTTTTTATTATGGAAAATTTCAAACATACACAAAAATGTAGAGAAGAGTGTAATGACCCCTCGTGTATTTATTGTGTGAATTTTTTAAAAATTCGATTTTAAGAAACATTTCTCTTGACCTTACTGGCTATATGCCCTGAGGGGATTTATGGCTGGTCCCCAGCAGTTCCCTCTGTCCTGGGGGGAGGCTGCTAAGGAGGGAGGGCCTACCTTGGAGCAAAAGCAAAGCGGTCAGGTCACCGTCACCGTCACCTTCACAAGGAAAATGAAAAGCAGGTTCTTAGCAGGGAGTCTGGGTCGTGATTCTAGTCATCTGTTAAGACTTTGGAGATTTAATTGCTTCCTATTTTAGTTCGGACGTGTTGTCGTTTTTCATTATTGTTGTTGATCTTCTGGTTGTCTTGTTTGCTCATCTTTGGTAATAAACTCTGTGAAATCAAGAGAGTTCGAGAGCATCAAAGAAAGAAGGAGCCGCTCTTCCTCCACAGCGGCTGGGAGGGAGGACAGACCCAGTGTGGAGAGGGAGGTGGCTGCCCTGGAGAGTGGGCAGCAGTGTGAGCCCCTGAGCTTCTGCAGAGGAAACCAGTGGCTCAGAGCACAGGACAGTGGCTCTGAGGAGAGGACGGGGCAGGTCCCGTTGGGGACGCCCATGTGGGCCCGTGGCATGGTGCTGAGGTTGTGACTCTTCTCTTATGGCTGTCCCTGCATTTCCTAATGCTCCTCATGTGCCCCCCTCCCTGCCCTCTCTCCCTCTACCCTCCACCCTCTTCCCCCCCCACCCCCCCGGCCCATAACGATATGGTTTCTACCCTCACCTTTAATTCCAGCACTGCCCAAGATCAAACGGCCCAACATCTCACCACCAAGTCCAGACCTTCCCCCCTTTATTCTCATCTCATTTCTCACTTCCTGATAAGTAACTTATCCTGGCTTTCTTGTTAATTTAAAAAAAAACAAAAAACTTTTTTTTTTAATTGATTTTAGAGAGGAAGGGAGAGGGAGAGATAGAAACAGCAATGATGAGAGAGAATCATTGATCAGCTGCTTCTTGCATGCCCTCTACTGGGGATGGAGCCCATACTTGAGCATGTGTTCTGACGAGGAATTGGACCGTGACCTCCTGGTTCATAAATCGATGCTCAACATTGAGCCACAATGGCCAGGATTTGACACAGCTCTTAATGGGAGATGCTAACCTCTCACCACTCCAAGGCAGCCTTTGTGCCTCCCCTCCTTCTCTCTTCTCTTTTCCCCCTCCTCCTTCTTCTTCCCTCTTCTTCCACCTTCTTCCCTCTCTCCTCCCACATTCTCCCCTTTCCCTGCTTCTTGCTTCCCACCCATTTGTGGGGATGCACACACACCATGTTGTCTCTCATTT